GGCCGGCCGGGGAGGTGGGGAGGCCCGAGAGGTCAGAAAGCGGGGCGAAGGGAGGTCCCTGCAGGAGCGCACGGGCGCACGGGTCTCGCCCGAGGACGTGGATGAGCTTGAGCTGATGGAGGAGGCAGCGGGAGCGGGAGATTCAGGGGTGGAACCGGGTCGCGTTTGCTTCTGTTTGGCTGGCAGTGTTCTCGGTGGATAAGGGTTGTGCCCCCTTAGGACTATATAGATTATTACATTCCCGGCCCAGTCCTCCAAGGGTCTTATGGAAACTAACATCAGTAACCTATCCCGCGCCCTTGCCACCCGCCTCCCTTCCCGCTGAAGGAACACCTGGTTCCTGGCACTTTTTGGGCAAGCCCAGGTTACAGAGGCCTTTTGCTCAAAATGCACAACTGTCTAAAGCAGCGGTTCTCAACCTGTGGGTCGCGACCCCGTTGGGGGTCGAACGACCCTTTCACAGGGGTCGCCTAAGACCATCAGAAAACACATATATAATTACATATTGTTTTTGTGATTAATCACTATGCTTTAATTATGTTCAATTTGTAACAATGAAAATACATCCTGCATATCAGATATTTACATTACGATTCATAACAGTAGCAAAATTACAGTTATGAAGTAGCAACAAAAATAACTTTATGGTTGGGTGTCACCACAACATGAGGAACTGTATTAAAGGGTCGCAGCATTAAGAAGGTTGAGAACCACTGCACTATAACCTCTGAGCCTCAGTTTCTTCGTCTGTAAAGTGGGAGGGGGTAGAGTAACAGTGTCTATCTGTGCCCAGTGCCTGAAACACCTGACTGATAGGAGGAGCTCAACAAATAGTCACCTGGAAGGTGACCTGGAGTGAATACAGACTTAGACCAAGATTTTCTTGAACATTGTAAACTTAATTCATTTTAATCTCTGCATGCCCCGTGACCCTAGCACAGGACCGGCACAGGACTGGTGCGGGAGAGCACTTGCTGGGAGAGTTGGAAGCAGCCATGGATGGGCAAGTGGGCACAAAGATGTGTGCACGGGTGGGTGGATGGACAGGCATGTAGCTGGATCAATGATGGATGGAGAAGTCGGACATCTGGGTGTATAAATGTGTGCTAAGTGGGGGGAGTGGAGGGATGGTCCCAGCCTATGGACCAATTGTAGGAGAGACAGTAATCTACTGTGTGAGGAGAGAGGGCAATTGAAAAGCTGGAAGAGGAGACCTTCTGTGTCTTCTGACCTCTGTTTTCTGATGCCTCTAGGGGTCCTTGCACCCCAGGCCCCTCCTCGACCTCCTAAGCTCCAGTTCTGACTCTCCACCATCCCACAGAGCAATTCCTAAGGCCCCTGTCTCCACCCTTCACCCTGGGGCAAGTTTTGTCCCAGCCCCAAGGGCAAAAGCATCTCTAGTTGGCCCCTCCCCCTCTGCCTGCCAGCGTGCCTGTGGCTCATTTGAGCCTGCAGGCTTTTGCAGCTCCCCTTAGTTGTCCCGAACTGCTCCCCTAATATTCCCAGGTGCCTCATCCAGAGATAATAGGTGCAGGGTAAGTTGCTCAGGCAGGTGTGAGATGCAGGACTCAGAGAAGGGGAAGATGCTGGTCAGCCTTGAGAGGCAGGGGTGAAGATTAGGGTGGGATGAGATGAGAGTCTGCTGTATTCCGTACCCTGATGCTGAATCCCTGAGGGCCCAGGCCCAGCTTCCCCAGCTGAAGCCAAATTTACCTTGAGTGGGGTTGGGGAGGTTGGGGGAGTGAGGAAGTGGATTTTGTTTCTCTTGTATTTTGTTTGGATCTTCATCTTTGTATTACTAGCATCTAGCAGCGTGCCTAGCACATACTGGGTGCTCAATAAACTTGATGAAATGAAATGACATCTTTCTTCCACTTAAGCAAGGAGAACAAAACAAACTTAAAAACATCAGTCATTTCCCTTTTTCCTTCTCATCTTCCTTCACCATCCTTCATCCTCTTTGAAAACCCCAAATCGTCCATTCCAAAATCATTCACCCACATTCATCCATTCAGGTATTCTTTCATTGAGTCATAAACATTTGTTACTCTACCATGGTCCAGGCCCTGTGATCGACACTGAGGAAACAGCATTGTTAGGGTTGCCGAAGGAGGAATGCACAAGGCCAAAGTGGTAAGGGATTATAAATTTATTTGGTTATCTGGATACCAGGTGGGCTGAGCCCCCAAATGGCACCAGCACCCAGGGGCAGGGAGTCAGAGATTTATTTTTTAAATATATATTTTATTGATTGATTTTTTACAGAGAGGAAAGGAGAGAAATAGAGAATTAGAAACATCGATGAGAGAGAAACATCGATCAGCTGCCTTCTGCACACCCCCTATTGGGGATGTGCCCTCAACCAAGCATGCCCTTGACCGGAATCGAACCTGGGACCCTTCAGTCTGCAGGCCGATGCTCTATCCACCGAGCCAAACCCGCTAGGGGGGGAGTCAGAGATTTTAAAGGACTCTAGGCAGGCTTTTTCTGGGCGGAGAATTCTCTGTGCAGGCCGGGATTCTGGGAAAGTCCAGAGATAATGGTCTTAGCAAATGGAATGTGGTCTAAGGGAAAGGAAATGTCCCTTGTGAAGTGGCCTAAAAGTCAACTCCCAGGGGAGGGGTGTCGATTCAATTATTTGATCAAACCTAACAAGCATAACTATGCCAGGACTCCTACCCAGAAGCCTCATGGAGGAAGACAGATGGGTAAACAGATTAGTACAATACAGTACGGAAGATGCAACGATAGAGGCAGATACAGGGTGCTCTGCAAGCATATAGGAGTGTTCTCTAACCCAGATTAAAGTATCTTGGAGGAGAATAGGCCTGAATTTCGTGTTAGGAAGATTAGTTAATCAGGTGGAGGAGAAGGAAAAAAGGATGAAAGAACACATATTGGAGGCAGAAGGAGCAGCATGTATGAAATCTTGGCAATGTAACATGAGTCCAGACTACTTAGTCCCCATAAAATGTGAATTGCTCAGGGATAAATATTTACATAGCCCTGTAATGGAAACTAGACTTGGACAAGTGACAAGGTGGGGGAGCTGAACCTGAGACGCCCGTATTAAGTTGGTGTCCTGGGAAGGGCCCCCAGTTGGTCGTATCCCAGGCTTCAACAATAAAAATTAGCCCTGGCTGGTGTTGCGCAGTAGGTTGGGCGTCATCCTGGTTGGGGGCTCAATACCTGGTAGGGGACATGCAAGGCAGCCAATCTGTGTTTCTCTCTCACATCGATGTTTCTCTCCCTCTCCCTTTCTCTCTAAAAATCAATTTTAAAATACTTAAAAAACACACATAAAATAAAATTGCAAATCCTCTCTAGAGAAAAGCACCTCCTAAAATTGTCAGAGATTAAGACCAACCAAAGATGAATTACAATGAAAGGTCATAAACACAGATGGAAACAAATCACCATGAAGGAGAGTCTGCAGATTCAAAAGCAATAGATTTAGACTCTCAGTAGGGGGTGTGCAAGATTTAAAATATTTAAAAAACACACATAAAATAAAATTGCAAAGCCTCTCTAGAGACAAGCACCTCCTAAAATTGTCAGAGATTAAGACCAACCAAAGATGAATTACAATGAAAGGTCATAAACACAGATGGAAACAAATCACCATGAAGGAGAGTCTGCAGATTCAAAAGCAATAGATTTAGACTCTCAGTAGGGGGTGTGCAAGAGGCAGCTGATCGATGTTTTTTTCTCATCGATTTTTCGAACTCTCTATCCTTCTCCCTTCCTCTCTGTAAAAAAAATCAATAATATATATATATAAAATAACTGTTAGCCTAGAATACTTAGCAAAGCAAACTTCCATATCGGAGGGCAAAAGAAGGATATTATCAGGAAAACAAAAACTACAGTTTGCCATCAACACTAAAAAAAACTCCTAAAAATATTTTAGGAAGAGGGAAAATTATTCCAAAAGAAATATTTAAGGTACAAGAAAGAATGGTAAGCAAAGAGATGAGTACAAAAGAGAAAGGCGAATCTGAACAGTCCTTTATAAAATAATAATATCTAATCTGTGGTTCCCAAAATTCAGACAAATAAAATACAGGGAAATAATAGCGGGTAAATTGAAAGGGAGGTATCAGAATGAGACTACTCCAGGGTCCTTGAATTCTTTGGGAAGAAAAAGGTGGTCAAGATAGTAACTATAGAGGCTGCAGGACAGCAGCTGAAGGGTGGAGGAGGTGGTGTAGCCGGTCTTGTCCTCTCCATGAGGTCACAGCTGGTGCCGATGTTCGGCGTTCAGGAAGGTATTCATTTAGTGAAACCACAGCAGTGGCACACGCTGCCAGTCACAGACCAAGTTTCCCGCCGCACTGGAGAACCAGGTTAAAATGTCCACACTACCTAAAGAAACCTATAGATTCAATGCAATCACTATCAAAATACCAATGTCATTTTTCACAGAACCAGAACTAATAATCCTAAAATTTATATAGGACTACAAAAGACCCAAATAGCCACAGCAATTGAGAAAGAAGAATAAAGTCGAAGGTATCACACTACCTGATCTCAAACTATACTACAAGGCTATAGTAATCAAAACAGCATGGTACTGGCATAAAGACAGACACATAGATCAATGGAACAGAATAGAGAGCCCAGAAACAAGCCCATGCCATGACAAAGGAGGCAAGAATATATAATGGGGTTAAAACAGTCTATTCAATAAATGGTGTTGGGAAAACTGAACAGATATATGCAAAAAATGAAACTACACCACTTTTTTACACCATATACAAGAATAAACTCAAAATAGATTAAAGACTTAAATGTAAAACCTGAAATCATAAAACTACTAGAAGAAAACATAGGCAGAAAACTGACGCTTCTCTTAGCAATATTTTTCCTGATATATCTCCCTGGGCAAGGGAAACAAAAGACAAAATAAACAAATGGTACCGCACCAACTAAAACATTTTTGCACAGCAAAGGAACCATCAACAAAACTAAAAGATAACTTACTGAATGGAAGAAGATATTTGCCAACAATACATCTGATAAGGGGTTTATATCCAAAACTTATGAAGAACTCAATTCAGCACCAAAAACAACAAAATTTTCCAATTTAAAAATGAGCAGAAAACCTGAATAGATATTTCTCCAAAGAGGACATACAGATGACCAACAGCCATATGAAAAGATGCTCAATGTCACCAACCATCAGAGAAATGTAAATTCAAACCACAGTGAGATATCACCTCACACATGTCAGAATGGCTGTCATCACTAAATCAATAAACAACAAGTGTTGGTGAGGATGTGGAAAAAGGGAACTCTTGGGCATTGTCGGTGGGATTGTAAATTGGTGCAGCCACGATGGAAAACAGTATGGAGGTTCCTCAAAAAATTAAAAATAGAGCTACCATATGATCCAGTAATTCCTATCCAAAAAAATCCAACTAATTTTTTACACTAATTCAAAAAGAAATATGCATTCATTCATATGTTCATTGCAGCAATATTTACAATAGCTAAGATATAAAAGTAACATAAATGTTCACTAATAGACAATTGGATAAAGATGTGGTGCCTATATAGTATGAAATATTACTCAGCCATAAAGAAAGAACAAAACCTTACCATTTGCAACAACATAGATGGACCGCTGAAATTATAAAACTACTAGAAGAAAACATAGGCAGGAAATTCTGACGCTTCTCTTAGCAATATTTTTCCTGATATATCTCCCTGGGCAAGGGAAACAAAAGACAAAATAAACAAATGGTACCGCACCAACTAAAACATTTTTGCACAGCAAAGGAACCATCAACAAAACTAAAAGATAACTTACTGAATGGAAGAAGATATTTGCCAACAATACATCTGATAAGGGGTTTATATCCAAAACTTATGAAGAACTCAATTCAGCACCAAAAACAACAAAATTTTCCAATTTAAAAATGAGCAGAAAACCTGAATAGATATTTCTCCAAAGAGGACATACAGATGACCAACAGCCATATGAAAAGATGCTCAATGTCACCAACCATCAGAGAAATGTAAATTCAAACCACAGTGAGATATCACCTCACACATGTCAGAATGGCTGTCATCACTAAATCAATAAACAACAAGTGTTGGTGAGGATGTGGAAAAAGGGAACTCTTGGGCATTGTCGGTGGGATTGTAAATTGGTGCAGCCACGATGGAAAACAGTATGGAGGCTCCTAAAAAAATTATAAACAGAACTACCTGATGACCCAGCAATTCCACATCTGGGTATTTATCCAAAAAAATCCAACTAATTTTTTACACTAATTCAAAAAGAAATATGCATTCATTCATATGTTCATTGCAGCAATATTTACAATAGCTAAGATATAAAAGTAA